TGACCAGAATGAGAAGCTGTAAACACAAATACTGTATGATCTATATATATTTCTAAATCTATTTCTAACCCTAATCTTAATCCACCTCAATGGCAATTTCCAAAAACAATTGGAAATTAGCCAATAGTCCAATGTCAAGATTTTTTGGAAAATGTGCTATTAACTACAACATATTGGTTTTATTGTGATGTTAAAAGATCCCTTAAAGGTAGAATTTACCATTAAATAATAATAATAATAACTAACTTTCACATCAAGTTCATAAAACATTGACAAACATATTCTCATGTGATCCCTAGAACACCTCTACAAATGTATTGTCATCCACATTTTCTAGCAAAAGAAGCTGAGATTTCACAGAAGCTAATTTTGCCTAACACAGACAGTAGTTGGACTTTCAGGATTAAAAACCAGAAAGAGGGGTGCCTGGGTGGCTCAGTCGGTTAAGCGTCTGCCTTTGGCTCAGGTCATGATCCCAGGATCCTGGGATCCAGCCCCGCATCAGGCTCCCTGCTCAGCTGGGAGCCTGCTTCTCCCTCTCTCTCTGTCCCTCCCTCTACTTGTGTTCTCTCTCTGTCTCCCTGTCAAATAAATAAATAAAATCTTTAAAAAATATAAAAATACGGGGCGCCTGGGTGGCTCAGTTGGTTAAGCATCTGCCTTTGGCTCAGATCATGATCTCAGAGTCCTGGGATTGAGCCCCCCCGTCGGGATCCCTGCTCAGTGGGGAATCTTCTTCTCCCTCCCCTTCTCCCTCTGCCCCTCCTGACCCAGCTCGTGCTCTCTCTCTCTCAAATAAATAAAATCTTTAAATATATATGTGTGTGTGTGTATATATATATATATATATATATAAAATAAGAACCACAAAGAGTTTTAAAATAATCCTGAATAATCTTAACCAATTAACCTTGACCTGATTCTAGCTGCCGGCTCTGCTTTCACTTCCCTGAAAACATTGGGTCCATATATACTTTTGTTTTCAAATCTCTCCCAGAATTCCCTCCCTGTTTTTCCTCCTTGTTTTAACATGCTCAAACAAAATATTTTCAAAGATTTATTTACTTATTTTAGAGAGGGAGGGGCAGAGGGAGAGGGAGAATCTTAAGCAGACTCCCCGCTGAGCGCCGAGCCAGACACAGAGCTCCGTTTCACCACCCTGAGATCATGACCGGAGCCGAAATCAAGAGTCAGATGCTTAACCGACTGAGCCACCCAGGCACCCCCAAACAAGATTTTAAAAAAAGAAAAACTCTCAAAGTTTTTCAGTTATACTACTTATCTGTGACTGATGAATCAATCAATAGATACTTATTAAACATCTTTTGTTTGCCCAGAACTGGGCTGAATGCTGTGGGGTTTTAGATGTATCTAAGGCATTATCCTTAATCTTGAAGCCTGTGGTCTTACCTGGCTTTCAGTGGAGGAGGAGTGGAGCCAATTCAATCACCTAGAAGGGAAATGAAAACGCTCTACATACTACTTGTTAGGTGTGCAGTTCCCAAGGGTTTTCCAGATATTGGAAGTGGGAGATACCACCGCACAGAGGTAGACAGGAAAGGCTTCATGAAAAAAATAATTTGGATTGCACCTTAAAAGATGGATAGAATTTGCTCAGTAAGCTTTTGTGCAGATACGCAGCCATCAACCGTCATCTACCTCATGTCCTGTCTTGTGAAATATCGCCTATGCTGAGGTACTTCACCTGTGGCCTTGAGACCTCATCTGTACTTTCCACTATATTCCCAAAGCTGCTTTCTACTCCGACCTGGCCCTTTGTGTTTGGGCCAATACTGGTCAATCTTAAAGTCATGGACATCAGTCCCTACTCTGAGTTTCAGAATGGCTTTGAGTCACCTCTGGTCTGGTCAGTCCTGCATGGCTCCCACACCACCCCAAGGACTCCAGATCCCTGAAACCACCCTCATTCACAGTCTAAGTGGAAATGAATTGGAAATGAATGCATTTCTTCAGCCAAGGTCTTGACAGAATTTATCCCTTGCCTTCAGAATTTTTAGGACCACGAATCTTGATTCTGGGTCCCCTGAGGCTATCATTGCCCTCTTGGTCAGGAAATTCTCAAACCTACTTCAGCCTTTATTTTCTGACATGTGTCTCTGCATGATATCTCAAAGGTTTATGCTGTTCCCGAGCTATTCCTGACACCCTGCCTCCCCTCCTCTCTGCATCAGCTCACATCTCACCTGCTCCTCAGGGCCTTCTGTGAACAAGGAGTCCTCAGAACCCTGGGAACATGAAGGCCTACAAGTCTGGACCATTACTTTGATGCATAATCTCTACCACCTGGAATATCTTTCTACAGATGTTTGTCTTGCTTCTCCAGCCAGGACAGAGACTGAGCTCATTAGACAGTAGCTTCTTGAGAGCAAGGCCTTTTATTGCCATTTTTGTATTCCCTCAACCTGCTGCACTAAATCACCCTCTATCTCCCTTACAGAGAGCCTAGCCAACTTCCCAGCAGGAGGTTCTGCATAAATGCCTGCCATCAGCTTGATGGATTGTTCCATCCCTAGGCCAGTCCATATGACCTGACTACCTACAGCATGGATCAGTCTTAGCCTGGCCTGACCTCCCTCTCTCACCAGCACAGGGCCAAGGAAACCAGGGCCTCCCAGACTTTATTAACCATATGCTTGTGTGTCTTTTGGCTCACAGGTGATGCCACCACCACAACAGGATGATCTTGAGTCTCCTGAAAGCCCTACCTATGAAAATTTCAGCTGCAGAGAAAAGCAACTGCTGCCTCTCTCCCTGTAGTTGGAGAGTCTGCTGGACGGTGTAGGGCCTGCGCTTTTACAGACAGAAGCACTTCAGAATTGTCTTCAGTGTCTCAAAGATGCGTGGGTTTCCCCCTCCTGCTTCCTTCCACCCCTGTGACTACCCAAGCCCATTAATAGATCAGACACAGGCTCCTTCTTGGAGTCCCCAGCCTTCAAGCTGTCCCTGCTCTGTCCATCTCCTTGTGTGCTCATACAGTTTCCCCTCTCAGCTCAGATGTACCACCTCAGAGCTCGGCCAAGACTGGTCCAGTGTTGTTGAAAGGACTCTGGACCTTCACACCGTCTTCTAAAGAGGGGCTAAAATGAATCCAATGGATATTCTCACACATGGACGCAAAGACCTATGTAAATCGTGTCCACTGTAGTATCTTTTTAAATAAAAGGACAGAAATAACCTAAATGTCCATTTAGTAGGAATGTGGTTAAATGTGTGATAGTGTACCCATGTGACAACAAGCCCTGCCACTTCTGTAAAGAAAGGAAAGACTAGGGGCGCCTGAGTGGCTCAGTGGTCAAGCGTCTCCCTTTGGCTTGGGTGGTGATCCCAGGGGCCTACTTCTTCCTCTCCCTCTGCCATTCCCCCTGCTTGCGCTCTCTCTCTGTCAAATAAACAAATTAAATCTTATGGAAGGAAGGGAGGAAGGGAGGGGGGGAGGGAGGGAGGGGGAGGAAAGAAAGAAAGAGCAAGAAAGAAAGAAAGAGAGAGAGAGAGAGAAAGAAAAAGAAAGAAAGAAAGAAAGAAAAAGACTAGGGGCGCCTGGGTGGCTCAGTCGGTTAAGCGACTGCCTTTGGCTCAGGTCATGATCCTGGAGTCCCGGGATCGAGTCCCGCATCGGTCTCCCTGCTCGGCAGGGAGTCTGCTTCTCCCTCTAACCCTCCCCCCTCTCATGTACTCTCTCTCTCTCTCATTCTCGCTCTCTCAAATAAATAAATAAATCTTTAAAAAAAAAAAAGAAAGAAAAAGACTAGTATGTGCTAATATGGAATAAGCGCTAAGAACGGAAAGAACAAAGCCCAGGACAGTGTGTATCACATGCTACCAGTTAGATAAAGAAGAAATGTATATCTATATGCTTATATAGTTATACAAAAGTTCCAAAGAAAATATGAAATACTTATCAGTGGCTGCCTCCAGGGAGTAAACTGGGTTGTTGTTTTTGCTGCATACTTTTTTGTACTGCAGATTTCTGTTTCTAACCATATATGTGTATCATTCTTTTGATATATTTTTAAGTGCTTAAAATGCCTCTACCATATAACCTTCCCATATTTACCCCAAAGAACTTCTCTCCTCGTTGTCCGGTCTGGATGGGAAACAACCATAGTACCTCTCCTCTCCCCACAGCTGTGGCTCAGCCCTATCTCCCTGCCTGTAAGTCGCACTACCTTTGACTTATATTCATGATACTGTAGTGTACGTTTGTGTCACATGCACCTGGAAGCCCATGTATGTCCTTTAATGTTGTGCTTCTGTTGTCATACTTTCCTGCACGTGTCCTATGGAGCCAATATGTCTTCTGTGTCCTGTAATGAGTACTCCCGGGGACCAACCAGTGCTTCATACGCAGCAGAAGCTTAACTACTGCTTCTTCACTGGGTGGTCATTGCATGGATAATCATCCTCATAAGGCATTATTACAGAAGCTCAGTGAAGACATGTAATATGATAATGCTGTACATTATTACACTCTAGAATACAGCATCCCTAAAAGCATAACTGACCAGTTCAAGATCTACACAACTCAGGATGCATGAAAGCCCGGGTCAATGGTCCATGTCTCTGGTGTTCATCTGAACTGTTCCAACCCCCATCGCTTCCTGCTCCCTCTGCTCACCAAACTCCTGACTCTGGCACTGACCTGCCAGTACGTGCCTTGGAGCCCCCAGACTCCTTTTGTATATGTTTTCCTGGTTTTTACCCTTGACACCTGCTCCAAAATGTGGTCTGTCCACACTTGTCTCCAGGAGGAAACCAGCCGGCCAGCCAAACAGCCCCCATGGGAGAGGGATCAGGCAGGGCTTGAGCAAGTGCAAGCTGTGGCTATCCCCCATGAGACTGAATGGCCTGGGATCTGGGGATCTGGGGATCCTGGGATCATCTGCTCCAGTGTGAACAAGGCTGGGAACCCCGATGGCTTGCAAAGAATCCAGACCCCTCTCCAGTAGGAATTAAACAGACAGGTGTTTATTGATGGACACAAGTGCCCTTTGGCAGCTATAGAGAGGAAAAGTACAGAATATGGAAGGGACACATAAATTTAACTCAGAAAAGAAACTTAGAATGCCTCTGAATAACAGCATAGTTTTATATTAAATTCATATGTTAAATACAGAATGGGGCAACTGAAGAACCAGGCTCCATGCAATAGCCACTGTTGGAGTCTCTGAGTAGGACCTCTTCTGGTTCACACTCACCCCCTTCCTGGGCTCAGCCGGAGTCTCAACTCTGGTCCCCACAGCCTCGTGGTAGAGTCTGGCCTGACGACTGAGGGGAGCCCAGCAGAGTGTCCAGTTCCCAGCTGCACAGCCGGCTGAGCCCTTCCTCCAGCATATGCCGTGGGGAGCGCTTATCAGGACTCAGAACTTAAATAGAATATGGTTTTCAATTGTGAAGAATTTGTGAAGAAGCTCAAGTAGATTTCTAATAATGTGTTTTTGTAAGTCATACATCATACTGTAGGTAAAGCTGGTCTCACTGTCCAATTATCAGGACAGCAATGGGCTCAGGGTGATTTTTCCACTCAGAGATCAGCTTGCTTTGCCCCATCTACTCTCACTCCTGCCCATTCTCTCTCATGACCTAGTGGCCAGAGGTAAAGGTTTAATATGTGGTGGGGGAGTTTTTCCTCTGTATTCAAGGAAAGCCTAGACCCATCCCCCTTGGAGGAGAGGCCAGCTGCTTACAGCTACTCAGTCCTTCCTCACAGAGGGGACGCTGTTTCTCTTCCTCTGAGTCGCCATTATCTTTCCTCCCTCTTTGGAAGATGGGCCTGGGCAAGGGGAGGGTCTAGAAATGTGGTCATTCCAGATTAGAGAGGAGGAAAGATGAGTAACACATTAGAAAACCAGGGGAAGGGATCTTGATGCTAATAATAACAGCACCCTGCATTTGCATAGCACTTGATAAATTTGCTGTGTGGCTCTGGACTTGCTTTGTAGTCTTTTATGAACTACCCAACCTGTCTACCCATTCTCATCCAGTCTGTAAGTTGAGAGATATTATTTAACAGTCTTGCTCTTATTAGCAGTCATTTTCAAAATAAGACATAGACTATAAACAAAGTCCCATGTCCTCTCTAGACTGTGCACCATTCTGTAGACTCATGTGGTGTCATCTATGGAGCTGATTCCCAAAGCAATGCTGGGATATAAGAGAGAACAGCTGCAGCAGCTAGGAATATACGCAGAAGTTCTCCAGCTCCCTGTGGCTCAGTCGTGCAGGGTTCTGGGCTTTGAGTTGTCTCTTTCCAACCTGCGGGAGAAAAGAAGAACTTTAGACCCTCTCCCACTAGGAGATCCTCATAGCAATCTTGAGACATACAAATTATTACCCCCATTTTACAGATTAAGAAAATGAACCTTGAAGTGAAATAACTCAGGGCCAACAACTAGTATGAAGTAAAGGAGGAGCTTGAAGCCAATTCTTCTGGCTCCAATTCCAGTGTTTTTTTAACATGACCTAGATTGCTTTGGCCCACACAGTGTCCTCTACAACCCTGGGCTGTCCAGTTGGCTTTGATGTGGGACTACAGCTGAAGCACCAGGAATCCCAGTGGGCACCCATCCACCTTCTCCCTTGTGACCACCGGCAGCGTCTTTATTGGACCACAGGTGGAAGCTAGTGGGTGGGAGTGCCCTCCGTGCCTTAATTTCTCTGGGTATGAATGGGAAGTATAATTATACCTATCTCATGGCATTCTATGAGGATTAAATGAGATAATTCACATGAAGCCACTAGCAGGCTACCAAATACATAATACACCCCCAATAACTTTTGAGTCCCTATTTTTCATTCCCTAAATGGCCTGATGGGACTCAATTCAGCCACCAGGCTCAATGGTCACTTTACAGTGTCCATTCCAGCAGCAGCTTAAGATTACCTATGCCCTAGAAAGGTTCCCAATTACTTGCTAACTTTAGAAAATCATTTAGATTTATTTATCCTCCCTTCTCTGCACCCTCACCCCCCACACCCTTGGAAAAGAGGGATGTCCAGTGTAAAGCCCACAGTTGGGGAACTAGCTAGAGGACAGCCCTAGTTTAAAACTCAAGCTCCCCAATAAGAGTCCAACCCTAACACATGCTATGACCTTGAATTAGACCCTTGCTTTCCTTGAACCTCAGTTTCTTCGTCTCTAAAACGAAAATGTGGGTAAGAAGATCCCTCGGGGGCACCTGGGTGACTCAGTCGGTTAAGTGTCTGCCTTGGGCTCAGGTCATGATCTCAGGATCCTGGGATCGAGCCTGATGTTGGGTTCCCTGCTCAGCGGGAGGTCTGCTTCTCCCTCTGCCCCTCCCCCTGATTGTGTGCTCTCTCTCTCTCTCAAATAAATAAAATCTTTTATTTTTTTTATTTTTATTTTTTTAAAGATTTTATTTATTTATTTGAGAGAGAGAGAATGAGAGAGAACACATGAGAGGGGATAGGGTCAGAGGGCAAAGCAGACTCCCTGCCGAGCAGGGAGCCCGATGCGGGACTCGATCCCGGGACTCCAGGATCATGACCTGAGCCGAAGGCAGTCGCTTAACCAGCTGAGCCACCCAGGCGCCCTAAATAAAATCTTTAAAAAAAAAAAAAGAAAAGAAGATCCCTAAAATCTCTACAACTCTGAGACTCTATGCATGGCTTTTTCACGAGTGTTCAATTTCAAGGCTTTTCTATGGGCACTGAACCCATTCAGAAGGAGCTCCAGAATCTTACCTCTTCGTAGATGGTGTAACTGGAGGAAGAACTCTGGTTCTTCTTCTTCGATTCAGACTGGAAATTCAGAGGGTTAAGAGTGCTTAACTTCAAGTCAGGAAATGTCCCACTCTTCACTGATATGAGAGGCCCCCAAAGAGACTCAGGGCCCCAAAAAATCCCTGAACCCACAGCCAGGGGTGAATAGAATCTCCTACCCCAAGAGTAAGTAATGGGGTTTATAGTTTCCAGAGAAGGCACAATACATACTTGTGTATGACATGACATTTCTGAACCCAAGTCAGAGGTTGGTATCCCACACCCACATATCTCTCAGATCCACACATACACACATTCCCAGCACACACACACACACACACACCCCTAGTGTAAGCACTCTGGCACCCACATCCCCTGACCCTGGCAAGACCCTAGAAACACTGGAATTCAGAGGCACTCTCAGTGGTAGGTAGAGTCTCCTTAGTAACAACAAGCATGTGACCATGGTGCCTGTGACCATCCATATGGCCATGCATTGCAGCATATAACTTAAATATAAATATCTCTCATGGTGGAATCTTAAGAGATTGAATGACATATTGGAAGGAGAGTGAATAAAAAGTCTGAAAATCCGTAACCTCTCCCCCATTTGATCTTGACCTGCACGTACTCAACACTTCCACAGTTCGGCATATTCCCAACTTCCCATACTACCACGTTAAGTTTATGTCTTCGTACTGTGACTCCAGCCTTGGAAATACCATTTTTCCAACCCCTCTCCCAGCCAAGGTGAAAAAATGACCATGGGCACCAGGTCCACAAAAGAGCTGTGAGCTTAGCTTGGAGTAGGATTTGAGGGGACTGTGATGGGTTGCCTCAGCCCAGAGGCCCCCACCAGCAGATGACCGGCCAGAACCTATATTTGGTTTCCTGAAAGTCAACATTGTGTCTCTCTAGGTCTGGGCAACTCCTCTGGCTCTGGGCTATATTCCCCCACTTTGGAAACCCCTCTAGTATCTCTCGTCATAGCCTCAGCTGGCCTCCTAAAGAGGGCGTGGTCTCTCTACAAAGCACCACCTTTCTGTCTCTGATTGTCCTTGTCCCATAGAAACTCCTAGAGGCTCCTTTAATCCACTGTTCTCTTAGTCTCAGAGCTGTTCTTTTTCTCCAAACAGAACCAGAAAGGCACTTCTAGTTGGCCCATTAACATTTGAATACAGCCATTTAACCCAAGCTGCTCAGATACACACAATGGAAGTGCACACACCCTGTGCAAACTCATGTGCACATGCAAAATCCACATCTGCATCCACAGCACCCCCTGGAGGAGGAGACTCACCTCCCATGAAGGCTCTACCAATGCATATAATGTATTTGTTTCTCGTGATGTAGGAGCAGAAGACTAATGAGAAAAGAAATAAAGGTATGTCAGAAGCATAGATCCAACAGAATCCTAGGGAGGGAGGTCATCTCTTCCACCCCTCCCCCCAACCCTGCCCAGACAGAAGCCCTAAGCATTAGTGAAAGGAACCCTGGACTCAGGAGGTCAGACAACCTGAATGCTCGTCCCCCTCTGTCAGTGAAGATAGCATTATTCTGTACATGTATTCTCTGCAACCCTTATAATACACCTACATGAGAGGAATGATCATCATTTGCCCCATTCTACAGAAGAGGTTCCAAAAGGGTAAATAGCCCAAGTCAGACAGTATATTCACAGTAGAAGCAGAATTTAAACCCCAGACTCGCCAGAGGTCTTTTCTCAACACCTCAGTGCCTCCCGTTGGCAACATGACTGCCTTCTCTGCACCTGAACCAAGTGTTCTCAAAGGCAGGTAGCCATCCTTCTTCTAAGAAGCTCTAGAGGAGGAGGCTCTTCACTCAACATCTCAGTCTGAGATGAGCTCTTTCTTGCATTTATTCAGATTCCTCATGTGGGAATCCAATGTGGCTAAAGCCAGAAAACTAGCAGGTAACAGTCACTCCTACATCTCTCTTTAAGGCTCTTGGACTTTGACCCACTATCAGTGAATCATATTATCTTGTGGGGAACAGGAGGAGACAACCCCAACTTGGGAATTCCAGAGTGGCTGTGAGGGTTGAGCACCTCCCTCCCTCCCTCTCCCCCTTCTGCCTCAACTCCTCTCTTCTTTCATTGTCCTCCCTTCCCCTCTGTCCTTCACTTTCTCCTCTTCCTCCTTCTCTTGATCTTTCTCTGAAGCCTATCACCATTCCTCTGCCCGGCAGCTTAGCCACCAAATTGAAGAGGTTACTGCTTCAGGACTTAAGTCTTTAAAAAAGAAAAAAAATTGTCATATTTATCAGAAATTTTTCATCACTGGCCACCAAGAGGCAGTGTTTCCCTTGAGACAGATGCCCCAGCCTGGGTTATCGATAATGTCATTTTAGCTGTCAAAATTAGAGGATGCTTTTCCAGTTTATGGTAAATTTCTATAATCCCAGAACGTTAAAGTCAGGGAGGGGGCAGATGGAGTGGAGGCTCAGAAGCCCTTTAGCTCAGCTCTGCGGCCTAGAGCATAGTAGTTAACCTGCGTCTGTCTCCTCATCTGCGAAATGGAGGTTGTATTAGACCCACTTCATGACGCTGTTTTGTGAGATTCATTAAGAAAATAGACATAGTAAGTACTTAATAAACGTTATTGTTGGGCGCCTGGGTGGCTCAGTCAGTTAAGCATCTGCCTTCAGCTCAGGTCATGATCCTGGGGTCCTGGGATCCAGCCCCATGTCAGGCTCCCTGCTCAGCAGAGAGTCTGCTTCTCCCTCTCCCTCTGCCCCTCTCCCCTGCTTGTTCTCTCTCTATATATATCAAGTAAGTAAACTTTAAAAAATTGTTATTGTTAAGGCATTGTAAGATAAAAGAGAACAACCCAGATACATCCTTTCCTGAAAACAGATATAATGAGGAGCCGAGATTAAAACAAAACAAAACAAACAAACTATAAGGGCCCCAAGTGTTGGAAGTAGCAGGGAGAGAAAACAGAAGCTGAGCCCCCTGACGAGTTTCCTCCTCCTACCGCTCTCTGCGCCACACCCTGCTGCCAGGCATATGGAGGGAAAAAGAAGACCTACATCAGACTTTCCAGCTCTGTTCAGCGCTGCCAAGACACTCCAGAGCCACACAGATCTTTTCAAACAATTTAATGCAGCTGAGGCCACGCTTTTAGATTCTAGGAGCACCAAGCCCTTATTCTGCCATTCAAGAACTATGAGCTTCTGGAAGGCATTAGGAAGCCCCATAGATAGGCATGGAACAGATTCGAGAAACCAGCGTGGTACCTGGGACAGGATCATGGAGTAGATGGTGCTTCCTTCTCCGGGAGGATTCTGCCTCTGCTCCTGCACAAGAAAGAGTGAAGGGGCACGTGGTCAGATGGCTGTGTCTGTCCAGATTGGGACTGGGTGGGGAGAGACACAGCAAACAGGAGGGGCTTCCAGAAGCTGGCGAAGGAGGTGGTCATTCGTCACCCCAGGATGGGGAGCCGCAGTAGAAAGAGCGACTCACACGGGAGGACTTAGTGTCACGTGCAAGGGACCACCCACGTGTGAAGGGATTGCACCGAGTGACCCTGCCCAAGGGGGCTCCGATCACTGGCTTTACTTTGGTAACTTAGAAACTTGCCTTTGCGGACTTCTCAGCCAAATTTGCCACATGACCACTAATAATGGGCTGAGCCCTGAGTGGGGCTGTGATCTGAGCCTTGAAATTCAGAGGCTTTCACTGTTTTAAAGCTCCCTCTCTAGATCGAGACTTCGTGGCCAGTTTGCCCTTGGCTTCAAGCCAGTCCCCAGGCAGCTACAGAGCTGGGGGAAGCCTTGGACCCGAGGCCAGAGGCAGAGAGACCATTCCCTTCCTGTTCCCTTCCTGCCCACAGCAGACTGGGTTGGAGGTGTTTTACCCCTGAGCGCATATTGCCAGGCTGGGCTCTGATGGGGAGCAAGAAGAGGCCAGCAGGGTTCATTAGACAAGGAAGGAGCTCAAAGGAGCAGAAAAACGCTCACTATCTTTGGAGGCTAGAGAGTCACGGGCATCTGGCAAGAAACAGAAGTTTCCTGCTTTTCTTTTTTGCCCAGACCTGAGTGAAGTGTCTCCAGAAAGGTCAGAACTGGGCCCCAGAGTAAGAACACATGAACTTGAGATTTAGGCCTTCAGACGGAACCCTGGAGCTAGCAGGGAGAAGCCAGCAATGGATGAGTCCACGGAGGGAGGAGCTCCTGAGTCAGAGGCAGAGAAACAGGCCTGAATCCCCCCCACTTATACTCTGACTAGTTATTTTCCACTATCCTCCTGCATTTACCTAACCTAAAGCAATCTTCATTCTGTGGGAGGAAAGGCCATTTGTCGCGAGCATTTGGGCTTCTAGCTGTAGGTAGATGCACTTGCTCTCAGGAATTTGTCCCAGGAGCTGTTTCACATCCCGATATTCCACTAATGGGGCAAGGAAACAGGCCGGGGAAGCTGCCCCGATTCCTGGTTCCCGCTGAGCCCAGACCCGAGGGAAGAGGCTTTCCTGTTCTACAAGGCCTCATACGTGTGATAAAGCGGGAGAGCCCACCGCGCCCACTGCCCGCCTCACCTCCTCAGGTGGAGCACCAGGAATGCCGGTGGGAAGAGGGCCCTTCCCACCCCTCCTGGCCTCCCCAGTTAGGCACTGCCTTTCCCCTAGGCCTGTCTCCACTTCCTGCCCTGCTGGGGTGGGGGGGACCAGAGCCATGGGGGGCGCCCTGCAGCGGCTCTGCAGGGCCCTCCCCGGCTACAGCCCTGCATGCCAGGCTGAGGCGGCCACTCCCCGCAGACGACGGCGGGAGAGGTTGTCAGCGGATTCTCGGAGGAAGCCGCTCTGGCTCCTTGATTCTGAGCTAAGCCGGTTTCTCTCTCTAGCACCTCAGCCGGACTCAGGCCTCCCCGCAGAAAGCTGGGAGCGCAGACCACTGAGCTAGCGACGACACCGGATGCTTTGGCTGGTCAGGCTGGCATCCTCCGCAGCCAGGGCAACAATCAAGGGACCCACAGAAGTAAACTTGGACGTGCAGGGGCCGGAGACAAAAGGCTTTTGTGGCCAGACACAAAAGACAAGAACGCTGGATTCTTCTTGGGGCTTAGTGCTGCTGGGAAGATGGGGCAGAAACAGGGCCACTAGGGTGCCGTCTGGAGAGAGAAGAGCCACATTCTGCCCGCTACTGTGGGTGTGCTGGGCTCCATCCTTCTCAGCAGGTTCTCCCTCGTGTCCTGCTTTTCCTCCACAGCCGGAGCTAGGAGGCTGGTGGGGAAGACAGACGGGAGGGCTGAGGATCACTTTGAGAGGACGCTTGTGTGGTACCCTTTGTCTCCCTGCTCCCAATGGCTATCCTCCCCAGAAGCTTCTTCCAGGCTAGTGGAGAGAGACCCCAGCCCCTCGTGTACCGTACTTGATTACTTCTGTTTTGCATGGTGTTGACGTCTTCATAAACTGTCAGAGTTTCCCCTCGGCTGGTCTCTGAGGGAGAAAAGCAGCAAAGACAGAGCTGCAGGGACCTCCAGAGAGTATCCTGTCCAGGCTTCTGCTTCTCACAGTTCCACCTCCACCCCAGACGGCCAAGACCTTGAGAAAGGTTCTAGGAAGGAGGCAGATTAGTGCTCTCCCCAGGATGCCCACAGACCACAGCAGCAGCAACCACCCGACGTAGCTACTCCATCGGGCCGGGCTGTCCCCCAACAAACCAGCCACCGGCAGGCAAATCTGCACATTGGGCTGTAAACATGCCGAGGACCCCCAGAAGGTATGACCTGGGAGAAAGGGCCCAGCAGCTTTCCCTCCCCCAGAGAGGCACACACACATGTCCCAAGCTCCAGAGGGAAAGCAGGTGCTGTACTCCCAGGCGCATGCTGCTGGGGATGTCAGGTCGGACAACAGCACCTCCTGGGGACCCTCACTCACCTGACTGCTTCCTCTTCCTCCTCCACACACAGAAGCAGGTGAGGGCACCCAGGGACAGCGTGATTAGAAAAACCACGATGATCATCAGAAAGTTCACAGAGGTGAATTCTAGGGACATGGAAAGCACGAGGCCTGAGCTTTCAGCCTCTCTCTCCTCCCTTCCCACCTGTCTGCTGCAGGACTTGTTTCAAACCCGCACTCCTCCCTCGCGTCCCACTGATTGCACCATCAAGGCTGTCTCTCTGCAGTTGGGTGACTTGCCCAACTGAGGCTAAGAGCATGGGTACCAATATCTGACCGGCCTGGCTCTGTGCCCTTGGGCAACTTCCTTAACCTCTCTGAGCTTCCGTTTTCTCATGTATAAAAGGAAATGATGTTATCTACATAAGGGAGTGGAGCATATGATCTAATACATGTAAAGCATCCAGCACAGCAAATGTGACATCTACCCATTGTTCTGTTAACTCAGCAAAACATATCGCACCCACTCTGTGCCAGGCAGCCCTCCCCTCCCCCTCCCTTCCAGTCCTGCCACCACTGATCTTCCTCATTGGAACGCCTACATTTACCGTCTGTGTCACACAGGTGGCCTGATGTGCGAGCCCACCAACAAGGGGGGCAGGGAAAGGAATTACCTGTTCCAGATGTTAGCTGGTGAGTCTCTTCACAAACATCACCTCATGTAATCCCACCAGCAATCCTGGGAGTTACCTATTATCATCCCCATTTTACCCAAGAGAAAAACTGAGGCTCAGAGAGGGTAAGGAATCTGCCTGAGATCACAGAGCTAGTGAATAATGAAACCACAGCTGACATGACCCAAAAGCCAGTGTCCTTGTCACTCCAAATCGCTTCAGCTTGCTGGTTTCTTTTTTGCCTAGTTTTGTTGCCCCTATTTGGCCGTAAGTTCCTTAAGGATAGGGACAGCAAGTAGGTTTTTCCCTGTGATGCCCATGCTGACGACACATTAAGTCTTTATTTATCCGATAAAAATTGGTGCAAACTTAACTCAAGATAACTCTTAGGATGACTGGGGAGGGTATGTGCTATGGTGAGCACTGTGAATTGTGTAAGACTGATGAATCACAGACCTGTACCTCTGAAACAAATAATACATTATATATTAATAAATAAAGATAGATGATAGATTAGATAGATAGATAGATAAATAGATAGATAACTCTTAGGATGAGCATAAGCAATAAACCAAGAAACTCTTCCAGGAACCCCTGTGATCATCCTTCCATGACCTAGGGCACTGTTGTACACCATAGTTACCTCCTGGGGAACTACATGGCTTGTGGGAGTTATCCTTCCTTGGGAGGAGGAAGCAAGTCTCCATCAGTCTCTCAGAGGAAGGAAGTGAAGATCAGCAGCCGTGGCAGGGCTTTGACCCACCAAACAGCTAAACATTCCCTACATGAAAGAAAAACTTGCATCTCCTAGGAGATTCTTGATGGGGATAAAATTCTTCCCAGACTAAGATAGGCCTGGGCTTATGGGAACTGTGTGCCCAGAGACCAGGACCACCCCAGGGAGGGGCACCAAGGCACTTGAGGAGGCAGCCAAGGGATCTTATACCCCAGTATCTCTGGCATGAGACTGATTATGGGGTCCAACACTTTCAGCCCCTATTAGTCCAAAGTGCTCCACTTACGCCTGTCAACACTCCGACAGCTCTGGGTGAAGGTGTGGTTTACCCAGCTGACCGGGTTGCTGACATTGCAGGTATATATGTCCAAGTCATTGACATCAATCTGTTCCTCCAGTTTGCTGAGATTGCTTGGTGTCTGGATCAGCTTGCTCCCTCTATACCAAACATAGCTCACATTACCACCTCTGGAGACCGAGCAGGACAGAGACACTTGGCATTTCCCTCTGTCCAGGACCTTCCTCTCCTCCACTACTTCAAGTGTTCCTACGTGATCTGGAAGCAGAGATTCTGATCAGAAAGGCACTGGAAATAAAAGCCCTGCAGGAGTCAGAGAGGCAGGCTGAGCTGTCCTAGGGACTCACCAAATACAGAAACCTGGAACTGGTGATTCTCAACTCTCCCACAGTCATCAGTCACCTCCAGGAGGTAGAGGCCACTGTCATTCTGCTGAGCTGTTTTGATGAGAAGAGTTAAATTCCTTTTTATAAAATTGAATGTCTGTTTGAGATGATTCGCAGTCCAAATTTCAGACCCATTCTTCCAAATCAGTATCACGGAAAATCCTGAACTTGAGTGCCTCTGCATCTTCCATAGAGCAGAGTTTATTTGCTTTGTCTGTGTCCTGGGGGGCAGTAACGAGAGTTGATTTCCTGAGAGTCCAACCACACGTTCAGCAGAATCTAGGGATTCCAGAAAAGAGAACCCAGGTTGGAGGCGGCAGGAAGGGTGCCAGCCCTGAGCATTGCAGGCAGCTGGATGTGCCTTCCCTTGAGCTAAGAGGAAGGAGGCATGTGTGAGGAGACCAGAGCCTAAGAGAACCTGAAAGTGTACTTCCCTTTGGTCTCTCCCCTCCCCAAGCTCCATGCCCCTCCTCTGAAGGAGCCCACCAACCAATAATGATAGCTAAAATCTCTTGACTTCTTTCTGTGAGGCAGCAGGTTTTAAACACTTTATATAAAATTTATAAAACACTTTATATAAAGTTCATAAAACACTTTTATATAGTTATATAAAAACATTTTAACCATGTTTAACTATATGTCTTAACAATGACCTTATGAGAGTTTTATCCCTATTTTACAGGTGAAAAAACTGACTGGAAAGAACTGAAAAGTAACTAGCCCAAGTTACACAGCAAGAAAGATGAGCTGGAAATCCAGTCAGTTTGGCTGTAGAGGATGAGTTCTTAACTACAATGTTATAAACACTGTATCTGACGTGACTCCCTCCACACAGGGCTGAGGCAACCACCAGTGGCCAGTGGTGACTGCTGGAAATTCTGTATGGCCAGACCCAGTAAGATGAACCCTCCAAGCTCCCTTCATAGCTCCCTCCCCTGTCCTCCCATAGAGCTAGATTCATAATCCTCTCTTGAAGCACTTAACACATCAAATGGGGGTCATTTCTCATTAATGATTGCCAAATTTTTAGTCACTAAGAAGTCTCCACAGCCATTGCTCCCTTAAGAATAATTAGAGAAAAATAAAACTACACGACCTTGATACATCCCCGCATTTGTCCTCTCTAGAGATCAAGATGTGTGCTAATTAAAATGAGGGTATGACATAGAGCTGCTAGTTTTTGCCTCCCCTAGGAAAGCCCAGTGCAGTCAGTAAAGAAAAATGGAAGTTTGAGTGGCCATTTTTGGCAGGGAAGCTATGTGGCATGGCCACATAATAAATGTAGGAAATAAAAAGGTCTGCCAGGGAGGGTCAGAAAGAATTTGGAGGATAGAATAGGAGATGGGGATTGTTATATGAACAGATCTGTTAAAATGGAGGACACTGAGAGGAGAACAATGGAGAGGGGGATTTTTAGATATCCGGATGCATTATAAACATGCTCACTCCCAACCACACCTTCACCCTGGCATTTTCTCAGGAGCCAGAGTAAATAATTAAAGAAACTATTTGGTTGATAGATTGTGTTTCTTTGATATTGACAGTCCAAAGAATAAAACACATAGTGTTCTGGGGCACTTGGCTGGCTCAGTCAGTAGAGCACCAGATTCTTGATCTCAGGGTTGTAAGTTTGAGCCCCACTTTGGGTGTAGAGATTACTTAGGGAGAAAACCTTTAAAAACAAAACAAACAAACAAACAAAAAACACATAGGGTTCCTATTCATATTCTTATGATCTGAACTGGCTCTGTCCATTGCCAAACCAGAAACAGAGACTGTGTCTTTTCTCCCATGGTCCTATATATGAGAACAGGCCAAGAGGTGCAATCAAGCATTGCACAAAAATCCTGAGAACAATCCCCACTGGTTATAATCGCCAGTGTAACCAGGGCCCCAAAGAGTTGGGGCCTCTGTGTATAAGACATGGTTCCTGACGCCAGAGAATTTGTGATCTGAAAGCAGAACATACTTTTATTCCACAGTATACACTTAATAGGTGAGATAAATAATCATCTAAAGAATTCTAATTCTGATCATGAAGACCACATTAAGACATGCTAACCAACCCTGCTACTGAGAATAACCAGGAAAAAAATGGGCAAAATATAAAAGCTTACTGCTAAAGGCATCAGGGAGCTAATAAAGCAGTGAAATATTATGGGGCTAAGATCTGGAAGAAGGAAACTCAGAGAGGTGAGACCAGCATATTTGACTCCTATTCCCTGGAGGCTTACAGTAAACTCAAGGAACTAAAAGAACACAGAGTTCAGGGATCTCATGTTAAGAAGAAGTGGGTATAATGGGACGCCTGGGTGCCTTAGTTGGTTAAGCATCCAACTCTTGATTTTGGCTCAGGTCATGATCTCAGGGTTGTGAGATGGAGCCTACATCAGGCTCCGCACTCAGCGTGAAGTCTGCTTGGGGATTCTCTCTCCCTCTCCCTCTGCCCCTCCCTGCCATCTCCCTCTTTCTCTCTAATAAATAAATAAAATCTTTAGGGGTGCCTGGGTGATTCAATTGGTTAAGCGTCTGCCTTGGGCTCATCATGATCCCAGGGTCCTGGGATCAAACCCTGAGTTGGGCTCCCTGCTCTGCAGAGAGTCTGCTTCTCCCTCTCCCTCTGCCCCGCTTCCTGCTTGTGTTCTCTCTCTCTGTCAAATAAATAAATACAATATTTTTTAAAAATAAAACTATAAGTTATTCTTGGAGAAAAATAACATCAACATGAGCATTAAACTATTTCTGAAATTTTCATGCATAATGTCCAAAATGAAATAAAAAAACAAGCATAAGGAGAGGAAACATGTTCAAAACCTAAAAGACATCTAGAACTAATGATGTAATGTATGGGGATTAACATAAGAATAAAAAAAAAAAAAAAACCTAAAAGAAAAAATAACCAATAGAATTAGGCTCAAGGGGCATCTAGATAACTCTGTAATCATGTTTCAAGGAATTAAAATTAAAATTAAATTAAATTAAATTTTTACTTAAAGTTTGAGAATTCCAGCAGAAAATCAGTGTGATAGAATGCAAAATGGGGGCGCCTGGGTGGCTCAGTAGGTTAAGCATCTGCCTTCTGCTCAGGTCATGATCCCGGGGTCCTGGGATCAAACCCCACATTGGGCTCCCTGCTCCGCAGGAAGCCTGCTTCTCCCTCTCCCATTCTGCTTGTGTTCTCTCTTGCTGTGTCTCTCTCTATCAAATAAATAAAATCTTTAAAAAAAAAAAAAAGGCAAAAATGGCCATGCCCCTTGCAATGTGACTTTGTAGCTCCACCCATCCTCGAGAGATGGAGCTCACTTCCCCATCTCCAGTAACTGGGCTGGCCTTCTGAATACAATGCAGCAAAAATGACCTTGTGCCAGGGGCACCTGGGTTGCTCAGTCAGTTAAACGTCTGACTTCAGCTCAGGTCATGATCTCAGGGTCCTGGGATTGAGCCCCACCTCAGGTTCTATGCTCAGCCAAGAGTCTGCTGCTCCCTCTCTCTCTCCCACTACCCCTCCCCCTGCTTGTGCTCTCTCTGTCTCTCTTTCTCTCAAATAAATAAATAAAATCTTTAAAAAGAGAGAGAGGGGGGCGCCTGGGTGGCTCAGTCGTTAAGGGTCTGCCTTTGGCTCAGGTCATGATCCCAAGGTCCTGGGATCAAGCCCCACGTCAGGCTTTCTGCTCAGTGGGGAGCCTGCTTCTTCTTCTCCCTAGGCCTGCTGTTCCCCCTGCTTGTGCTAACTCTCTGTCAAATAAATAAATAAAATCTTTAAAAAAAAAAAAAAAGAAAGAAAGAAAAGAATTATACAACAGAGGATCAACAAGCCATTTTTTTATTTTATAAAAAAATCAAAGTATGGTTAATGCATAGATAGATTGATCAAAAGAAATGTGAAAAGGTACAAATAAGCAATATCAGAATTTTTTAAAGATATCGCCACAGATCCCACAGATATTAAGACCTTAAGAATTATAAACTGCTTTCCATCAATAAATTTTAAAATTGAGATTAAATAGAAAATTTCTATTAAGTAAATTGAATCTATACTGAAAAACCTTCTCACAAAGTAAACTCCAGACCTAGTTAGCATCCCTGGTTAACTCTACAAAATAGTTTAAAAAATTTAACTCCAACCCTACCCAAATGCTTTCAGAGATAGAAGTAGATAATACTTCCAAACTTGTTTTATGAGGTTAACATATTTATTAGGTTGACCCCAAAATCTGCAAGGATATCACAAGAGAAGAAAATTAAAGGCTCTGAACTCAGAAACATGGGTACAAAAATCCTAAGCAAAAGACTAGCAAACGAAATAGATCAAAGTACATAAAGAAACAAGAAAGTGCAGCCTATTTACAAGGGGGAAAAAGAAAGCAACCATGAAGAATCATAGACATTGGACTTAATAGACAAAAACTATTTTTTTTAAAGTAGTCTCCATGCCCAGCATGGAGCCCTGTATGAGACTCGAACTCATGACCCTGAGATCAAGACCTGAACTGATAGCAAGAGTCAGACCCTTAACTGACAGAGCCACCCTGGCACCTCTAGTCAAAAACTTTGTATGGACTGTCAGAAATATGCTCAAAGAGCCAAAGGAAACTATAGACAAAGAACTGAAGGAAGCCAGATGACTGATGTCTCAACAAAGAAAATATCAATAAACAGAAATTATAAGAGGGAATCAAATAGAAATTCTGGAGCTGAATAACGTCCACAATAGCCAAACTGTGGAAAGAGCCAAGATGTCCATCGACAGATGAATGGATAAAGAAGATGTGGTATATATATACAATGGAATATTATGCA